TGAACCGTTTACACTGCTGTTCACATGATTTTATTTTGTAAAAAACCTCTCAAATCTTGCCAGAAGTCAAGGTTTATTTCCCCATCCTGAGGGTATTTAATCCTCATCTCATTAACTTTCATTTTAATGTACAATTGCTGAGGAGAGAAAATAACTGAAATATTTTGTCTTAGGGAAAAGATCAGATACAAATTTATCCTGAAGCCATCAAAGATGCTTATCAGCATGTTTTTCTCTCTTCCCTAGCTGCATGAGCTTGCAGAAGAACCAGTTTTGCTTGGCTTTGGCTTTCTGAGAGAAGAAATGATTGCTGGAGAAATTCAGCTGGGCAGCAAGTCCCTGCTCGGGACGGGTTGATGATCTGAGCATGGGATAGGAAACGAAAAGCATCACTGCGTGGGATCATGTTGGGGCGCCCTGGGCGACGGAAGGACTTGGCTCTAAAAAAAGGAGAGAGATTTTTTCCCAACAATTTATGCAGAAAAACATTCTCTGAGTGGGGTGTAATTTATTTCTGCAGTTGAAACCATCTGCTTCTCGCTTTCAGCTACAACCAGCCCAGGTTTACAAAATAAAAAAAAAGTGTTAAGTGTGATTATTAAGCCAAATCTCATCTTTTTCCTCAGACTTTGCTGAGGCTGTACCCAGGCATAGGGCTGTCTGGAGGAAGAGCACATCAGGGCATTCGATCATCCCCATCCGCGAGCACTGCTCTGGGTAATGGGTGAAAACTAATACTGGTAAAATTACTTTTTGCAAAGCTGGAATGAACTTTGTTTAAAAACTGCTTGAAAACTGAACTTTTGCCAAAATGAACTTTTGCGAACATCATGTCAGCAAAAAACAATAGGAAAGGGCAGTTATTTTTTCCCATTTTGGTACTTTTCAGCCACCATTCCCTTACGTTTCCTACTCTCCGTATGAGGTTAAAACAGGAGAAAAACGCTCCAGCTGCTACAGGTTGAAGCACAGAGAATGATGGAGGTGGGAGTGGGAAGGCTGAGATGGCTCGGCGGGCAGATGGGGCCGAGCAGGCAGATTCCTCGCAGAGCCGCCCTGCCGTGGCGAGGACAGAAAGAGTTAAGCCGCAGCGTTGCTGGGGGAGCTCAGCTTTCCTTCCTGGCCTCCAGGATTACAGCACTGGCTTGCCAGGCTTTGGGGAGAGGTTAGAAAATGCCTGCCCTAGGAGAGCTGCCCCCAGATGTGGGGCCGGGAGGGTCCCATCCCTGCGGCATGGGGCCATGAGGGCAGCACCTGCCCTGAGGACAAAGCTGGCCTGGAGGACGTCATTGATGGGGAAGGTGAAGCAGATGGTGCACCCAGACTTGCCCCATGCAGGCTGGTTTTGGATGGCTCTGAGAAAGCAGCCAGTGCTCAGGAGAGCAAAAAGAATGAGATTTACTGTGACTGCTGCTTGGCCAAGGAGGTGGCGGTGGTGACGTCCTGCCTCGCCTGCCCAGAGCATCGCCAGGCTGCCCTGGGGAGCAGCGAGCTGTGGAGCCACTGGACGTGCAGCCCCTCCAAGGACTCTGAGCTGCCGACCCGCGGGTTAGAGCACTTAACTCTATAACCAGAAGCCTGGTCATGAGTGAACAGCCTGGGTAAGTGAAGAGTAAATGTTTTTAGGTGTAACCCTAGAAGCAAGTTTGATAGGGAAGTGGGAAAGTGAGGTTTGAAAAACAATGCCCTTTGTCCTTTCTCTGTATGGATTTACTTTCTCCTCCTGGGAGAAGGAGGACTCTGCTTCCAAAACAAGTGGTCGTTGCCAATGTGGGAATGGAAGGTTTAATAAAACTTTTCCTCCTCTGCATTTACCAGATGCTGTGGCCAGCGCTGTGCAAAGGGCATCCTGCGCTGCGCCTGCTGCCCCAGCTGCCCGGAAAGCTCTGCTGACGTGTGAGGGTCAAGTGTCCTGAGGTGTGAGTCCAGGTCTTCAGAGACCCCAGTGATCTTACCCCGGCAGGGATCCCTCTTGCCCAGTTTTAGGCGCCTGGCCTGAGATGCTCTACAGTGGCTGGCAGGGCTGGACCATGCACCGGGTCTCTGAGGCTGGGCACTGACTGCTTGGCAGCTCTTCTTCCATTCCTCTCCAGTTTTTAGGGTGGAAGGTGGGTTTGAATTCCTCCCTCCAGATGAGAGCTTGGATGGAGTGGCTGTTTTATACTCCTCTTCCAGCAGTTTTTTTTAAATCACGGATGGCAGGATTGCATTCCTATGGGCACATTGCCTGCGTTCACTTATTAACAATGTTTTATTTCCTGTTGCTGGCAGAGAGCTTTCTCAGGCTTTGAGAGAAGAAGACAAAGCTGGACAATATATGGTGATGTCTTCTGGTGCTGTTAAAAAGGTGCAGTCATCCACGTTGGATGGTGACCTGGTCCTTTTTGCTGGAGAGGACTCACTCCAGCTCTGGGCATCCAACACCTACCACAGGGCTCAGAGAATTTCCTCTCCTTGGTCTTCTGACCCCAGAGAGGGTGGGTCAGTGATGGCTCTCTGGTTTGTTCACAGGATGAACTTCTTCAGACTCACCTGGTGTATAACTGGAAGCCAAAGTCTCTTGAGAAAGCAATTCTTAAACTACAAAATAACACCTAGTCTAGCATGATAAGGCAGAACACAGCTGGGTTTGCTCCCAGCTTGCTGTTGGTGCCACGATCTGCCTCCCTGTAAAATAATGATAGTCACAATTCTGCCCAGTTTCTATCAGGTGGTTTCTGGGAGCATCAGCAGAGCTCCTGGTGGAAGAGGAGAACGGGGCTTAGTCTGTGGTGAGGGAGATTTCAGATTAGGATGAGTTTTCAGGAGAAGCCTGTAGCAGGGGATCGACTGGATGGTTTCTTGCAGTTCAGTCTGTGATCGTTAAAGCCAAGTGAGCTAGGAATGAACTGTTCTAAATTCCACAATTTTGGCTGACATCTGAAGGATGAAGCCAGCGTGAGATGCTATGGCATGAGTTAAAAAGCCAAGGTTCCCTAGACTGAGCTCTTACTATGTGTGGATTTGGCTTTCAAGTGTCTCTGTAATGCATAGTTCAGCATGGGGTTACTCCCAAATACTGAACCCTGGGTGCTTTGGGCTTCAGGAGAAGTCAGACCACATCAAACCCTGCTGATGTTGTGGAGCAGTCCTGCTCTGGGAGGGGCTGGGTCTCACCTAGCTGAGCAGGAAATCTGAACCCCAAACTCCATGTTTCCCAATAAAAGCCAAAGTCACTAAGATCCTGTATTTCAGGCTGATTTGTTTTAAGCCTAAATGAAGATTTCTCCACCTCAGGAAGGTGGAACTCCCTTATGTAGGGTTTTGTTGGAGAATTACCCCCAAACTGAGCCTTGGTTATATCATCCAGCTGCCTGTTGGGTGCATCTTTGGTGAATTGTCACTCTCGAGGGCATCAACCACCCAAACAGCAGTGTCATCTACCACAAGGTGTGACTAACGGCATCACTTGTCATCTTCAGCAAAGCGTGAGCCATAATGGAAGATATAACACCCCAAATAACCACAGTGGTTGCCTAGCGTGACCAGCTTTGTAACAAACTTCCTTGAAAAAGAGCCTCAGTCCTGTGTTTCAAAGCTACCGCAACCACAACTGCCTCTATGCTGTTGAGTTTTCCCTTTCCAAAAAGGCATTGGACGTGCCAGTGTTGGCAGGGGAGGTACCCTGGGGTGGAGAGGGGCTGATGGCAGCAGGAGACAACTGGAAGGATGGTACAACAGGTGACTTCGGTCCCATAGCCGTCTGTCCTGGGTGTGGAAGGCCTTGCGGGAGGGTTTAGACTGCTGCTGGTGGCAGTGGGGACAGCCCAGCAGGAGGTAGCGGCCTTTCTGGAAGAGAAGGGGAGCGTGGCTGTGAACCACATCAACAGGATAAAGATCCACTTAGAGCACAAGCGAGCCTTCATTGAGAACAAGCTCAAACTGGAGAAGATGCCTGCTCACAGCACCAAGTGCCTCTTCTTAAAAGTAGGGTAGTCTGAGGTGTCTCCCCTTACAGTGGCTAGAGGGATGGGGAGTCAGGAGAGCGGTGCCTGCCCTGACCACCGTAGCATGCCATACCCACCAGCAAAATGCCTCCAACGCGCAGTATCATAGCCTAAAACAGGTGAATCTTTTTGTTTATTTTGTGGCTAGGAGTGCTGTGAATTCAGAGAAGAGCTCTGGGGTGGATGCTCTTCCCAGCGTTTACATCGGGCTGAAGGACAAACTGTCTCGAATCAGGTGGGTCATCGTGGAGCCTGATATCTGCTTGTACTTATTTTTGCAAAGCTGCACCTGAGGGCATGTGCTTGCTTATGAACAGCTCTGTGCTATCACCAAGTGGAAAACGCTAAGGCCCAGAAAATTACGTGCGAACCAGGCTAGAGCCCACCGTACTGCCCTTCCTCTGTGATAAGATCATCACTTCGGATTTGCAACGTTACACTGGCTGCTGTGACAGCAAGCATAGGAACTTCTTGAATTTTTTGATTTGCTGAAACTAGAACTTTTCAGAAGTCCTGATAAAACTCCCCTTAAGAACATGTTTCAAATCCAGGAGGGACTTTCTTGTCAGACCTAGAGAGAATGAGAAACAGCCAGATAAAAAGGGCATGAACTCGCAGTGTGAGCAACAGAGACCAAACTCCCTGCTCATCTCACTCGAGACAAGATGCATGAACTCACCGTCCTGGTAAGTCCCCCGAGACCGGGGTCAGGCCGGGAGCTACCTCTGCTTTATCTTCTGATGAATAATTTCAGGTCTCATCTTGACAGGGAATGGGAAAACGGTGGTGATTACAAGATGTTTTCGGAGCTGACAGCACTGTTTCTTGCCTGGCTTTAGTGACAGGTTGTGATGAGGCGTTAGCAGGTTGTGGGATGATCAAAGGGAGAGGGGAGGGATTCCCCAGACCAAGAGGGATGCTGGGTCTCACTCCAACACCACCTCAGAGCAGAGGGCAAGAAAGACCAGGGGTTTATGCCTCCCCCTTTTGGCTTTGTCCTGATCTTTCTTTAGAATGATAAACAGCAGCAGTCAGCCAATAATGATTTAGTATGTGGGAAGCCTGAGCTTTATCGGTGTCCCTATCCCGGCTCCTTTTAAGTCCCTGGTAGAAATCTCACGAGCAGCAAGATATAAACTGGCTGAGTTTGTACCCACACAAGGTAATGTGGCTGAGCCTCATAAATCCCACTGGTTTATGTATATCAGCCCGGTTTCCTCAGCAAAGGCAAAACTACCAGGTACCAGCAGTGATGAAGAGAAGGGATTCTGCTGGCTGGGGTCACTCTTGAAAAGTGCTTTGCACCCCGAATGTCAGCAGAGATGGGGGCTCAAGCACCAGCACTGCAGTGTGTTTGGGATGCTGAACTGGCCTCTCTCCTGTTTTCAGGCAGGAATAATTGCTAATAAAAACAGCAGTTGAGGCAGCCCTGCAAAACTGCTCGAATGCCTCTAGGCGGCACGAGAGCGTGTCTGATCACAGTGGGACACGCAGCCCCTCAGTTCTTGTCTGGCTCTGCATGAACTGCTTGCAGATCCCGGGGTCAGGGAGTCCTTTCTGATCTCTGTTGCCTGTCATTGTATATGGTTGTGGGTTGGAGGAAGCAGGGGTGCTGTGCAGAGCACCCCGAGCCCCAGGTTGTGTCCCAAAGTGCTGAGAGGCTGATGTGGTGTTGCCCAGCATGAAACTGGAATCAGGCCCCACATCTGCATGCGCTCACAAAATCCCCCGTTTGGATGAAACCTCTGCAGCACTGGCTGGCAGGTCCTCATCCTCCGGACAACGTGAGGAGCTGGTCCTGCACAGCCAGGGACCATTGCCCCTGTCCCCACGGTGTGTGAGCCCCAGGTACCATGGCCCGTGGTTAGTGCTGGGGCAGCAATCACTGCTTTCTTTCCTTTTATTGCTGAAGAGATCTGCTTGATCAAAATGATGGTGCCTGCAATTGGACCACCCAACCATCACATCTCTGCCACCCAACCAAAGACAAGGAGTGATTTCCTCAAGTGTATGTCCTGGGTTCGATGGTTTTAATACTGACCTGCCTTTTAGGGGGAGGTGGAGTTTGGTAAGAGATTTCTGGAGATACCGAGTGAAATCCATCTCACCTGTCTTGGACACACACCTTCAGCAGTGGTGCAGTATGCTCTGGAGGTGTCTGTCTCCTTCCACTGACAGCAGAGAGAGCCCCAGGGACTGGCTTAGACTCATAAGGACACTTAGGAAAGAAAATCCAAATTAAATAAAGGTTTATGGATTAAACTCCTTGGTAGAAGAATCTTACAAGGAATTCAGTTTACTTTCATTCATTTAAGGAGAACTAAACTGTCATGGTTATTTTAATTCTGCTAAAAATGGTACAAAGCAGTTTAATGTGGCTTAACTTAATCCACTTGAAAAATCAATTCAGATTAATTTTCTTGAGTGTCTTGCATAGTTTGCCTTTGATTTTTCACATGTTAATTACTTTTATTGTGCATGGCTGAAGCCTAGCATGACTGTAGCTTCCATCAGTCACAGAAAATGCTCCTGTGGTTATGTGCAGACTTTAAATACAAAGCTCATATGTTGAGTAATCAGGATGGTGAATGCTCCTGGATAGGTCCTGTAAACCATTTCACAGAATCGCTGTGGTTGGCAGGGACCTCTGAGGGTTTTGTGTCCAGCCCCCCTGCTCAGAGAAGGGTCAAGTGGGGCAGGCTGCTCAGGGCCACATCCAGTTGGGTTTGAATATTTCCAAGGACGGAGACTCCAAAACCTCTCCGGGCAACCTCTTCCAATGGTTGACCACCTTCACAGTAAAAAAGATTTCTCTTATGTTTCAAAACCACTATTTTCTATTTTTCTGTGACCCTTAAGATGTGATGCAGAGCCAGAGACAACGACAAAGTGACCAACACTGCTCCATGGGAACAGCTGTACCCAGATCATCCCAAAGGATTTGAACACACAGATGCCAAGTGATGTCTGACAAGCATTTGTACTTTAGCCACTACTGTTTTGAGGTTGAGATATCTGGGGCTGATGTTTACCCTGGCATGACGTACAGAAGCATTGACCAGACAGGTTCAGAAAGCAACAGCTGCACCTCAGGAAACAACTTCTCCTGGAGCATCGTGTGGAATGGGAAAGGGTTTTCTGCATGGCACAGTGATGTGGAGATGCCCCTCAATATGGATGTGTTTGGTAGGGTAGGGGTCTACCCAAACTACCCCAGCAGGACCTTGTCCTTTTACGGGGTCACCTATGATAATGTGACCTTGATGCACCAGTTTGAGTATGCTTTTGTTGAGTCCCTCTACCCCGACTTTTGGCTTTTAAAGAAAGAAAACTGTCAGGACAATATGGCTGGGGGAAGATGCTGAGAAGACTCCAGCCTCCTTGTGTTTCTTTGGGGAGCTGCTCCCTTGAAAGCATCTGAGTCAGAAGAACTGTCCAGTGCTTAGGTTATGGTGTGGTGCCAATGCTTTTGCCGCAGGCAGCTGGGTGAAGAAGGGAGAGATGTTTCAATAAAGACTCTTGTAATCAAATGTGATTCTCAGCATCCTATATTTTAGAGGTGGACAAGGCTTGAGGGTTCATGCAGTTGCTTGCCCAGGGGTCAGTGCAGATTGTTCCCAGCGGTATATCCATTAATATTTTGTTTAGTATGAGTTAAAGCCTTTTTTTTTCCTTTTTTCTAATTTTTTTTTCCCCCGCCAAGGATGGCGGTGTGTCACTGCCCTGACGTGTTGGTCTTACCATGCTGGTGTGAGTGGGCAGGCAGAAGCCAGGCAGATCAAGGTTGTCTTGCCATTTCCCCTGCTGCACCTGGGTAAATGGTCTCAGCCCCCAGCTCAGTTCTCAACTGGCTTCAGGATCAGAGTGGCACTGGGGTGGTGAAAGGTCCCTCTTGGTCCTCCCACCCCGAGGTCTGCACCGAGAACAAAGAGCTATGAGTGAGGCTGGTGCAGGCATTGCTTCTGGCAGGAGAGAGTCCATACAGTGTCCCCCAGGAACAGCCAAAAACACCCCTTCCTTCTCCAGAGGTAACTGGGAAGCGGGTGGAAAGTGCTGGTGGTGAGCGGGGAGCAGCAGAGGCCGCAGAAGTGTGAAAACAGAAGGATGAGCCAGCAAATAGGCTCTGTGCTGCGAGGGAAAGTGCATTCCTGAGCAGAGGAGCAGCAGCTCAGCTCGCACCCCGCAGGAGGGTGCTCTCAGCCCGCTGCTGGCTCTGCTCCTCTCCCTCCTCCTCTCCCTCCCTCTCTGCCAG